CAGAAGCCAGTGCGGTGACAAGTGCTAGTTAGTTTAATAACCTCTATTATCTCTGCTCCTTAAGAGGGAGCGTTTACAATCCTGCACCTGTTGGTTTGATGTTCAGAATCAAAAATACAGCAGGGCTCTGTGGATTCTGCTAGTGGACGAGAATCTAGGGAAAAACCTGCTTGGGCTGAACTCCTGTACTCTTTCCAGCACTATGGGTAACTCCTATGAACATTAATAAGAGTTAAATGCACAAGAAGGCTGCACTGGCAATGCAAAACAATAACTTTACCATCCAGATTAGCCTCCAAATTAAAAATATACCACAAGCAAATGTGCCTGTGTATACACTGCACTGGGGGCACTGTTCAGGAGCCAGGCAGGAAGGTTTAGTAATGTCGGAGTTTCACAAGCAGAAAGAGAGGAAAAATCTGAGGTGAAAACTTGTGAAGGGGGAGAAGATAAGCACCAGCATCCTAATGCAAATCACAGAAAATGTCCTAGGATGCTGGGGGAAAACTAACTTTAAAAATGTAACAAATTGATTAAGAACCCCCCAATTAAGTCAGCACGCCAGTGTCCCCTTTCCAGTTAATTCACACACACTGAATATATGCAAAGTGTAAGGACAAGATTGTGTTGTCACATTGTTTGTTATCCTTTTCCTTCATAGTTCAGATAAAAGCCACCTCACTGTTACTCCTACGGCCCCTAATGTTAGCGATCGGTAGCAACTTATTCTACATTGACACTTTTTTAACAGTGCAGCTGTTTTCTCCAGAGATTTGAGAGCTTTCCATTGTTACTGGGCCCTGCATTCTTCCCTCCCCTTGTACTTGTAGGTTGTTTGCAATGCTTGGGCAGGGAGGGAGCGGGTGGAGGGGATATGACAGGCCCTGCTTTTATCTCCACCAAAGGCTCAACAACTGGGAACGCGGTGCTACAGTTTGCTTCTCCGTGAGAAAGAAGCAGTGAGTCTTCAGGGTCTGCGTTACACTAGATTCATTGGACAGCTGAATCACACGATTACAGCCAGAAACAGGGAGTTGTTTTTGGAAAGGTCATTGTAACTTGCATATTTTATTTCCCTTTCTCACCTTTAATTCCTCATCCCAAGGGGGGCTTGCCACAATATGAGAGAGAAAAAGTAGAATCAAATTAAGTACAAATCTTATATCAGTGGTCCCCAATGCGGTGCCCACGGGCGCCGTGGCACCCGCCGGGCCATTTCTGTGCACCTGCTGAGTGACTGGGGCCAGCCCCACCGCCAGGCATGTGGTGCATGGGCGGTGCCGGCCCCATGGCGCGTGGCACATAGGCAGCCCCGCCCCCGGGCGCGTGGTACATGGGTTGTGCCAGCCCCGGGAGTGTGGCGTATGAGCGTCCCCGCCCCTGGGCACACAGTGCAGAAGCGGCGCCAGCCCCAGGCGCGCAGCGGCCTGGCGCATGCATGGCCCCGCCCCCAGGTGCCCGGCAGCCCCAAAAGGTTGGGGACCACTGTCTTATATGAACTAAACTATTCCATAGAATCTCTGTGGATAGTAATTCCATGGTCTAATAATATGAATATAGCAATAGGGATATATTACCAACCACCTGACCAGGATAACAATAGTGACTGTGAAATGCTAAGGGTGATTAGACAGAGCCTATAAAAATAAACTCAATAAGAAGGGGGAATTTCAACTATCCCCATACTTACAGGGTACACATCACCTCAGGACAGGATGCAGACACAAAGTTTCTTGATACCTTAAATGACGGCTTCTTGGAGCAGCTGGTTCTGGAACCCACAAGAGGAGATGTAATTCTTGAGTTAGTCCTAAGTGGAGCACAGGCTCTGGTCCAAGAGGTGACTATAACTGAACCACTTGGAAATAGTGACCATAATATACAAAAAATGTAACATCCCTGTGGCAGGAAAAATACCACAACACCCCAACACTATGGCATTTAATTTCAGAAAAGGGAACTATACAAAAATGAGGTTAGTTACACAGAAATTAAAAGGTACAATGCCAAAAATAAAATCCCTGAAAGATGCATGGAAACTTTTCAAAGACACCATAATAGAGGCTCAACTTAAATGAATACCCCAAATTAAATAACAGTAGGAGAACCAAAAAAGTGCGACCCTTAATTACCAAGGAAAAGAAGCAGAAAGAGATAAAAAGGTATCATGTAGAAAATGGAAGTTAAATCCTAGTGAGGAAAATAAAAAGGAGCACAAACTCTATCAAATGAAGTGTAAAAATATAATTAGAAAGGGGAAAAAGGAATTTGACAAACAGCTAGCAAAACACTCAAAAAGTAAAAGCAAAATTTTTCAGTACATCAGAAGCAGGAACCCTGCTAAACAACCAGGCTACGAATAGACTACAAGTTTCTTTCGGAAAAAGCTTTTCCAGAAGAGATCTTCCAGACAAACTTTTTTTCGGAAGAATAGTGATAGAAATGTAGCCGTGTTAGTCTGGTGTAGCTGAAACAAAATACAGGACTATGTAGCACTTTAAAGACTAACAAGATGGTTTAAGTGCTACATAGTGCTGTATTTTTTTTTCGGAAGAGAGAGAGTCTACACAGCAAAAGCTCAACGAAACAGCAATGTGCGTTTTCAAAAGATAGCGTCCACATTGATTGGATACTATCTTGCATTTCAGTTGTGATTACTGTGGACAGAGTGGCCACCAGAGCATCTGTGCTTTTTCCTGGAGGCCTCTTCTTTCGAAAAAACACTCTTTTGTGTCCACACACACCTTTTTCTGAAAAAGACTTCTTCCTTGTAGAAAGAGGTTTACCGCTGTTGAAAAAACCCCTCCATTCTTTCGACTCTCTGTCGAATACAGGCAGTCCCCGAGTTACGCAGATCCGACTTATGTTACGAACGGGGTTTTTCTCGCCCAGAGGACGGGAGCGGCGGGATGCCCAGATGCGCCGCGGTCCCGCTGCCCGAATCCTCCGGGGCAAGAAAAGCTGCTCTGCGTCTCCCTGGTCTGCTGGGGGGGAAGGCCCCCCCCAGCAGACCAGGGAGACGGGGAGCAAAGCCGCGGAGCACTCGGGCAGCGGGACCGCCGCGGCACGTCTCAGCGATCTGCTGGGGGGAGGGGGAGCGCAGCTAGTGCAGGGTTCCCTCACCCCGTTCGTAAGTAGGGATCCGACAGAAGTCGGATCCACGTAACCCGGGGACTGCCTGTATTGGAACTGAACCTATCTACATGCCCAAGATTTGCTATACTGGCTGGTAACCTCAAGGAATGTGCCCAAGAGCTCACAGGCTTTTTAAATTTATTTCTTGCTACTAATCCATGTTATTGTACTTTACCTATCCTCTCATATCCTCCTGGACCATAGGATGTTAACGCCTCTTCAAAGGATTAATTATCCTAGAGCCATAAATACAAGACAGACAGCATCTCTTTTCCCTTTAAGGTATTGTCATTAAGACTGTAAAGTAGCCATGTAATTGTTAGGATCTAACTGTTTTCAAATGGGAAAACCCTTCCCTACAGCTAGATGACTCAAAGACTGTGCTGAGTGCAGGTGGATCTGTTCAGTCTTTCAGCAATAACCCAGATGCTGAGGGATATCCTGGCCCCCAGTGAAGTCTATAGAAACATTCCCATTGGCTTAATACACCCAGAATTTCACTGCAGGATTTCACTGCAGATACCTGAGAAGGAGAGTGCTTCAGATCTCTTGCCCTCCCATTTTGAAGGTAACATTATTGTATGGTCTCTAACCCAGTGTAGACATACCCCAGTGAGCCCACTGGACGACGGAGATGCTAAAGAAACACTCAAGGATGATAAGGTCACTTTTGAGAAACTCAATGAAATTTTTGCACCGGTCTTTATGGCTAAAGATGTGAGGAAGATTCCCAAACCTGAGTCATTCTTTTTAGGTGACAAATGTGTGGAATTGTCCCAGATTGAGGTGTCATTAGAGGAGGTTTTGGAACAAACTTATAAACTAAATAGTGATGAGTCACCAGGACCAGATGGCATTCACCCAAGAGTTCTGACAGAACTCAAATGTGAAATTGTGGAACTACTAACTATGGTCTGCAACCTATCTTTAAATCAGCTTCTGTACCTAATAACTAGGGGATAGCTAATGTGAAGCCAATTTTTAAAAAGGGCTTGAAGGGATCCTGGCAATCTGTGGGAGAAAAGTCAACATGGTTTCTGTAAAGGGAAATCCTGCCTCACCACTCCATTAGAGTTCTTTGAGGGGGTCAACAAGCATGTGGACAAGGGGGATCCAGTGGATATAGTGTACTTAGATTTCCAGAAAGCCTTTAACAAGGTCCCTCACCAAAGGCTCTTAAGCAAAGTAAGATGCCATGGAATAAAAGGGAAGGGCCTCTCATGGATTGGCAACTGGTTAAAAAACAGGAAACAAAGGGTGGAAATAAATGGTCCATTTTCACAGTGGAGAGAGGTAACTAGTGGCGTCCTACAGGAATCCATACTGCGACCAATCCTATTCAATGTATTCAGAAACTAGCAGACTTACCTGGCATTGCCTGGGTCCAGCCCTTGGGAGCACACAGGTCTCCTGCCAGCACACGCCCAGCCAGCTAGGGGCCTGGCCGAGGACAGAACACTAAAACTGGAAGTGACCTCAAGAGGGCATCAAGTCCAGTCTCCTGCCTGCACGGCAAGACCAAGCACTGTCTAGAGCAGGGTTTCCCAACCTACGGGTTGGGACCCAAATATGGGTCGCCATTACCTTTCAAAAGGGTCTCCAGGTGTCTCCCTAGGTGGCTCTTACGGAGCCATTCACACATTTTTTGAATTGCCCTGGGTCACCAAGTCTTCCTGAATTGTCAAAACAGGTCCCCATCTGGAAAAGGTTGGTTACCGCTGGTCTAGACCATCCCTGGCAGGTGTCTCTCTAACCTGCTCTTGAATATCTCCAGTGATGGAGGTTCCACAACCTCCCTAGGCAATTTATTCCAGTGTTTAACCACCCTGACAGTGAGGAAGTTTTTCCTAATGTCCAATCTAAACCTCCCTTACTGCAGTTTAAGCCCATTGCTTTTAGTCCTGTCCTCAGAGGCCAAGGAGAACAATTTTTCTCCCTCCTCCTTGTAACAACACCCTTTTAGGTACTTGAAAACTGCTGTCAATGTGACTATAATGCAGGGCTGAGAGAGATAGGGTAGAAATAGGAGAAGACTGGCAATGGGGTGGGGAGTGGGAGAAGGCGGAGACACTGCAGAACTTCTACTGAGCCAGTGTGGGATGGAGGAAACAGCAGAGAAAACAAAACAAGGCTAATCTGAGAGCCGAAGCTGTCAGAGAGGGCCCAGAACTGCTGCAGCATAACAGGAGTTATCAGTGGGTGTCAGAAGGGAGAAGGCAGTGCTCCTCCACACAGCCGTTAACTTGCTCCTTTCTCTGGCCTCCTGTAGCAAAATGCCATCTCCATGAAAGCTCCTGCCCAGCCTCCCATTGACTTCAGAGGGGTCAGGATTTCACCCTTATTATGTAAGTGATTCCCTGTTTTGACTCCCCGGGATCTACTTAGTATCATGGTCTCTGACTGGCCCAACAACGGATCTGGAGGCTTCAGACATCCAGCTGTGCAGTAGCTGTTGAGAAATCAGCGATTCTGTGCCTCCCGCCTCTGGGGAAGGGCAGTGGGTTGAGGATTTTATTGTGAGCAGGGAGCTGTTGAAGAGGCAGCAAGAGAGCAGTTTGTTTCCGGCACGCTCTGTAGGGGCCTTACGCAGGCCTCTGCCTTGGGGAAACCGGTGAGTTTCCAACACAGTCACACATGAAAGACGTGCAGAGGCTGCTGTAATAGGTGGGATATGCCCGCAGGTGACTGACATGAGCAGAGTCTGCGAAGTCCACAGCTCTCACCGCCACGTTGTGCTGCCGCCGTGCTTCAATCATGTGCTCTATGTCACTGGCCAGGATGATCCTATCGCCCTTGGAGTAGAGGTACAGCTCGGGCCACCTCGAGGTCTCCTTCAGCAGGGCATCATAATGGCTCTCGTGGAAGAGGCGAGTCACTGGGTACAGCAGGATCCGCAGCACCAGCACCAGGATAGCGAAGACCATCAGGAGGCAATACTTGAGCAGCACGTTCGTTGATCCCAGGACAGCTGCCAAGGCACGCAGGCTGCCTATCACGTTTCTTCTACCTGGGGCGCTATCAAAAATGGTGCCGGCAACCTTGAGGCTGCTGAACTGCCTCTCCGTGTGGATCAGCTCTAGGATGTAACGGTAAAGCATGACCCCGCCATTGCTGAACACATGAAACAGCAGGGGGTTCTTTTCAATGTTATAGTCAAAAAGCAGCTCCAGGAGCTTCCTAGCTGGGCTCTGGAGGGACCTGATGCCAAAGGGTTCTGTGAAAAACACTGTCTTCCATGGAGCTGTGTAGCGGATAATTGTGCACCCCTGGGAGGAAGACAGACAGACACACATCATGGCGCACGAAGGAAAGCAAGCAACAAGACAGCACTCCCCATCTGCCACCATGTTCACAGCACTTGCTCTAGAGGACAGAGTGCTGGTCCCTCTCCCTGGTCAGTGCTGGCTCCCCATGAGTGTATCTTTAGTAGAACATCCTGCACAACACTGGTGAAGGAGGAGGAACTGGTAAAACTTAGCCTAATCAAGAGCCTATGTATATGCCATTTTATGGCTGCCTAACATCTGATCCTTTTTTGAAGCTTGCTAATCTCCAGCAATTTAAGCAGATGTGGGGAAGGGGTCATAGCAGATTCCACTTAATAGCCACCTGGATATTTACATCTTCTCGTTAATAGCAACATTTGCTGGACCGATCCTGTCCCATTGACTGTAATGCTAATGAAATTTGGATACTGGCAAAGCCGTGCTGATTATTATCAGCAGTAAGAACCCCAACTGCAGGCAGGGTTGTAGGGTTGCAGCCAGGCAAGGAAGTGCCGGTACACACCGTCCCTGACTGCAGCCCTGTAGCCTGCCTCCAACTAGCACACTCCTGAGTTTCCTTCCAGGGTTAGCAGATACCAGAACTACACTGCTCCTCTCCAGACTGAACCTTACACCCAGGGAAGAAAGCACTGGGACATCTGATCCTTGACCGATTGGGAGCTCAAGAAGACTCACCACAGGGCTCCCATGCCCTGTAGAAAGTCCCACCCTCTGGGGTGCATTCCCCTCCCTGCTGCTGCCCTGCCTGCAATGCAGGCTTCCTTTCCTGGCTGCAGCTGACAAAGCTGCTTTCTACATATTACGACCTGCTGGATAATGTCAGGTTTTGCTGGCCACAAAGGTTTCAACTGTTAATAGCCAGAAGTTACTGCATTTGGTTCCACATACTAGAAAACTTGGACAGCTAAGCTCCCATATTTAGATATATATATAGTGTTACTCTGAGCATTCACTTTACTAAGGGAGGGTATTATAAAATCAGGCACCCAGGTGCTGAAGCAATGGGCCTCCCAGAAGTTTCTAAGTAAATGTGGGTGAAGCTAGTTGTAGAAGCACTCAATATTTTACAGTAGCTCAGCAAAGGCATTCCTTGCTATGACTGCTTGAGAAATGCAGAGAAAAAGCATCAAAACAACCCTCCAGAGAATCAAGCATCATCCAGTCCATCCTGACAGGTGTTTGTTTAACCTGCTCTGAAAACTCTCCAATGATGAAGATTCCACAACCTCCACAGGCAATTTATTCCAATGATTAATCTCTGCCTTGTAACAACCTTTTAGGTACTTGAAAATTGCTATCAAGCCCCTGTCTTCTCCTTCCCAGACTAAACAAACCAAATTCTTTCAATCTTCCCTCATAGATCATACATTTTTCAGAGCTTTCATCTTTTTTTTTTTGCTCTTTTCTAGACTTTCTCCAATTTGTCCACATCTTTCCTGAAATGTGACAATACTCCATCTGAGGCCTAATCTGCACAGAGTAGAGCAGAAGAATTTGTTCTCATGTCTTGCTTAATACACTCCTGTTAATACAACCCCATAATGTGTTCTTTTTTTGCAACACGTTTATACGTTGACTCATTTAGCTTGTGGTCCACTATGTCCCCTAGATCTCCTGCCACAGTACTCCTTCCTAGACAGTCACTTCCCATTTTGTCTGTGCACAACTGATTGTTCCTTCCTAAGTGCAGTACCTTGCATCTATGCTTGTTGAATTTCATGCTACTTATCATTTCTCCAGTTTGTCCAGATCATTTTGAATTCTCCAAAGCATTTACAGTCCCTCCCAGACTGAACCTTGCACCCAGAGGTGCAAGGTACCATCCCAGCGGTATGTCCAGAGAGGATTGGGGAGAAGCGAGGAAGATACATTTTAAATCATCAGAATAGGTGAAAGTATCTGGGTTTTGCATTTATACTCCTGGGCTGTGTCTACACTGGCCACTTATTCTGGAAAATCAGCCACTTTTCCGGAATAAGCTGCGAGCTGTCTACACTGGCCCTTGAATTTCCGGAAAAGCAACAACGCTCTACTGTACAAAATCAGCCACTATTCCAAAAAAACTATTCTGCTCCCGCTCGGGCATAAGTCCTTATTCCGGAACACTGTTCCAGAAAAGGGCCAGTGTAGACAGCCCAGTAATCTTTTCCGGAAAAAAGCCCCAATCGCGAAAATGGCGATCAGGGCTCTTTTCCGGAAAAGCGCGTCTACATTGGCCACAGACGCTTTTCCGGAAAAAGGGCTTTTCCGGAAAAGCAGCCTGCCAATGTAGACGCTCCTTTTCCGGAAAAACTGAAAACGGAATAGTATTCCGTTTTAAGCATTTCTGGAAATTCATGCCAGTGTAGACACAGCCCTAGTGGGTGCAGCTCCCTTCCCGATCGCTGTTAGAACCCTATGCAACCCTGCATCCCTACCCTCAAGGATCTCTCTCCTCCCCATCGTTTTTCCAGCCATGGAGGACTTGCCAAGAGTGCCATGCCAGCATGTCAATAACACTCATTTAACCAGCAGGGATGACAGTTGGCCATTAGCCAATACAAAGTACTGTACTGCCCTTCTTTTCCCACTGGCTAAGCAAGCTGCCTCCTCTGGGCTTCCACACATATTATGTCCGAGGCTGGCAGGGGCACTGGGGTCTCCCACATGGCATCACAGAACACACAGCCATCATAATGTACCAGGTGTGACCTCCCTGTTCTGTTTCTGAGTCCATAAGCACCCTATGGCTTAAGTTTCATTTGTAAAGATTCAAAAAGTTCAATTAAGACATCTGGGAATTAGGGAAATAAAATCCAGTAAGAATAAAAAAGCCAACGTAACATAACTGCAGCTAAGTACATAAAAAACCCACCTTCCAAAAGTCTCCCCAATCTCGCCAACCCTCCCATAGTTTATGATTTGAAGCTTTTATTCATACTATGTATAAATATAGCTGGAGCAGTGGCTACATTAAAACTATTCTAGCATCACACCCACAACTAGGCATTTGCAGTTATCAAGCCCTTAGGATATTTGATCATTGGTGCAAAGAGCAGTTTAGTTTTTCTATTTGGAAAGCAGCATGTGGCAGTTCCAATCTAGCAGTGGAGTTCTCAGCACATAGAAAACAGGGACATGAGACAAGAGACCTACAACCCTCACAAGGCACTGTGCTACCAAGTGCAATTCAAATTTTCCATGTTTAATTTTTAAAAAATCCACAGAAAGCAGAATCTTTTTGCAAAAAAGTAGCCCAAACCCAATTTTGCATTAAGACTGCAATGGATTTTTTTTCTGCCAGACATAATTGTGTGGCTTAATCCTTGTAAAGTGCTAAACATTATTCGTGTAAGAATGAGAAAGAAGTTCATTCCCCATAGCTCATTCCATCCTCAGTGTCTCTCCTAACTAGTTCCCTTTAAGCAATCTTAGCAAACTGTGTACAGGCAGTCCCCGACTTCGCGGATCCGACTTATGTCGGATCCGCAGTTACGAACGGGGCTGCCCCGGAGTACACGGACTGCGGGACCTCGCAGTCCCGCTGCCCGTGTACTCCGGGCGAGAAAAGCTGCTCCGCGTCTCCCTGGTCTGCAGACCAGGAAGATGCGGAGCAAAGCCGCGGAGGGGCTCAGGCAGCGGGGCAGCCCAGGCGCGCCTGGGCTGGCTTGCTGCCC